GTTGTTTCAAACTTTGACAATTCGTATTTATAAGATCAAAGATACTGTCATAGAGATAGCTCCAGAGAATTGTGCTTGTGACGTATAATTGATGCGGTTGAGTAAAATATTGAGAAAATATTTTTCCCAGCTTGAAAACATGTACAATACAACACAATACTACACAAAACTACTTTATTGTACACCAAGAAAAAATAACAAAAAAATAAATAGACAACTATTGAGGGAAATACAAAGGGCGGTCTTATTGCTACATAGCAATCTCTTCCAGACAACCTAGAAGAAGAAATAAATAAAAAAATAAGAAAAAAGAACAATGGATAGGATGCACTAAAATAAAACAATAAATTAAAATAAAATCAAACATAAAGATACAAACTTGCTCATTAAAAAGACAATATTCTTCAGGTAGATCAATGACCATAATTAAGCAGAGGAAGGGAGAGGGGTTAGAGAGACAAATAGTATTCCTCAACCTGTTTCTGGAACAAATTATGGATTGAGCATTTTTAATTGACTGGAGTAAGGAGTTCCAAAGTCTTACTTCAAGATCAGAAAATTATTTGTAATAAAAAGTCGAGGAGTGCACAGGACATTGGACGGAAAGATTTTCTTAAGATCGTAAGGAAAAATTATGACAGCAGCTGAGCAATTTAAAAGGTTCTTTCAGATAGGAAGGACTTGATATATTAAATAAGACGCAGTAGAGAGCAGAGAGTATGCGAGTATTCCGACGAAGACGGATTGAGAGACCCTTGAGCTTAGTGCGGTATTCTGAGACATGGTCATATTTACGAAGCCCAAATATGAATCGTACCAGAGATTCTGGAGTCGCTCAAGTTTGTTATGTTGCTCCTCGGTGATATCAAGGTAACAAATGTCAGCATAGTCGAGAATAGGGAGTAGTAAAGATTATGCAAGCGTAATTTTGGTGGAAATGGTTAAAAAGTAGTTAAGCCTCCGGAGTGAAGCATATGCTGCAAACATTTTACGGCTCACGGCATTAATTTGGGGAGTCTAAGGAAGACTGGAATCCAAAAGGATACCTAAATTTTTGACAACGTCATTATAAGGGATAGGAACACCATTAAACATAACGGGTTGTATTTGACATTTTTTTATTTTGAAAATCGTTCTTGAACTCCCAATAATTATGGCTTGGGATTTTAAAGGGTTCACCGTTAACTCATAAGACCGACTCCAGTCAAGAATACATGTCTTATTGATACATTCCACTGCTTTGGGAAGATCTTCAATGGTTGTTTGTAAGTATATTTGGAGATCGTCTGCATACAAGTAGTAGAGAGAAGATATTTGGGATGTAATCGTATTAATAAAGATTGCGAATAAAAGAGGGGATATATAAGACACCACCTTGTCGAACACCAGCTACGGTATCAAGCCATGAAGATAGTCTATCTTGGACACGAAACGTTGCCGACGCCCATACAAATAACTATATAACCAGGAAATTGCAATTGGAGATATATTAGGAGAAGGCAGAATCCCTAACAGAATGTCATGATCAACAGTATTGAAGGCATTGCTGAAATCCAGCAACACCAATAATGTGTCTTGATGATTTTACATATTGTGGCTAATGTCGTCCGTGATTTTTAATAACGCCGTAGTCGTACTTTGACCAGATCTAAAGCCAAATTGGAGTGTTGAGGATGCTATTTCTTAAACAAAAGGAATTAATATGTTGTTGCACAAGGCGTTCTAAGACTTGGAAAGGAAAGGAAGAATCGAAATAGGACCTACCTACTTGAATAAGTTCACAATAACGTTTGATCTACCGTTGCATATGCTAATCTTTTCGGTTTTCAATTAGTTTCTTCTGTCTGAACTTTCGTCATCGATATTATTATCACCGTCTTCTTTAATCTCACCACCAATTAGAATCGTTATACGTGGTAGAGCCATGCTGCAGCTATATTAATAGTATAGTTGTAGCACGAATGGGTCGGCTCGATCGGGGAAGGATCACGCTCTAACAGAATACCAGCGTAAAATAGCAACTTAAAGCTGCTGTGTTTCGTATGGTGAGTGTAGAGAACCGGAGACCCTTTTTACTGGAAACGAGGCATTCTATCTGAGTCGTCACGGGTGACAACGTATCTGCATTTTGATTCGCAAACGTGAATATATGAGTGAGATATCTTTAGAACCAGAATATACTTTCGGTGGTTGATAATTGAGACTTAACTTAGTAAAAGTAGAAGCAAACAAATATACACGTGGAACAAGCGCAATAATAATTTGAACAATGTTGATGCAATGGTAGACTATCGGGGGTTTCAAACAGCATAGATTTACATTTTTTTTTTAAAATTTGATACTTTTTGCGGTAACCATCACATAAAAATCCATATCCTTGCATAAATTAACGTCTTTTAAAGATACTCTACAGAATGGCATTTCAGTACTGTAAAAGAATGGCTCCTATCATGACATGCCAAATCCAAATGTACTTATTTTGCTGTGTAATGGGATTTAAAATAATATTCGGAATACTTTCGGTGCTGTTGGACATAATTTGAGGGTTTTTAATCAAATTTAATGGCCAGGTTGAATGAAAAACTACAGGAAGCTTTTATACGGCATAGAGTGATTTAACAATAACTAAAAACTTATTTGATTGTGATATCAGCTCACAATTCCAAGGTACACATAGAGGCACTAATACAATTGGAAGAAACTCTACATTGACAATAAATTAGCAATTCAGTTGCTTTTAAGAGCTGTTATAGAGTACATTCACATTCACAGCAAGATATCTTCATACAATTATCGAGTAAAATACATTAATTTAAATAGATTTTTCTGTAAAGTTGAGTCAATTTTTTTTTAAATTTAAAGCATAATTATACAGCTATAAAATAGTGAAAATTCCTTTAACAGACTGTCAGTATAATATAATCAGCCTTTCGATTGTTTTTCAACAAAATTCGTAAAAGTCATAGCTTATACGATCTCTGCTGATTGGGATACGAGGGCGGCAATGAAAATTTCGGGAATCAAGGAAGTGAACACAACATTACTATTTAAAAATGTATTTATTGCTTTTCGAAGTGTTCTCCGCGAAATTTGACACATTTTTCCATACGATGGAACCAATCATTGAAGCAACCATTCCATTCGGAAGTTGGGGTCTCCAAAATGGCCGTTTTGTAGGCGTCCACAGCTTCTTCAGGTGATGAAAATCTCTGTCCACGCAATTTATTCTTTATTTTAGGGAAAGTATAGAAATCATTAGGGCTTAGGTCGGCGCTGTATGGCGGATGGTCTAATAATTCTATGTTTTCTTGCTCTAAAAACTCTTTTGTTCTGTGTGCGGTGTGAGAACTCGCATTGTCGTAATGGAGGATGATGCGGCGGTTGCAGTTCTCTTTACGGAGTTCAGAAACGACCTGTGGCAAACAAATGCTAGCATACCATTCTGCATTAACCGTTCTTTGTCCTTCAAGAGGAATAGTCGTAAAATGGCCGGTTTTGGAGACAAACGTGGCCACCATTTTTTTGCAACACTCTGTGAACGAAAAATTTTTGTTGGCTTTAACTCATTTTCGAACACCCAAACTCGTGACTGGTTTTTTGTTTCGGGTTCGTACGCGTATATCCAGGATTCGTCACCTGATACGATGTTGTATACAGCATTTGAGGATCCTGCGTGGAATCTTTCGAGAGTTCTGATGCACCAAGTAACGCGAGCCGCTTTTTGCTCAGCATCAACGTTTTCTTGGTTGACTGCAGTTTTTGGACGACCTTGACGGGGATCATCACTGAGCTTGACACGTCCACGTTGAAATTCAGCAAACCAGCGATAAATTGTGGCTTTGGATGGGGCTTCATCACCAAATGCAGAAATCATTCGGTCAACACACTGTTTTGTTTTAAACCACTTCGAAAGTCATAATAAATCATCGCTCTTGAATTTTCTCGAGTTAATTCCATTTTCTCAACGACTAAACAAATTTGATAATACCTTGTGGCAAGACCGAGAATCTTTTTTTTTTAAAAAAATAAATGGTATTCGATTTTTAAAACCAAGGGGTTTTCAATTAAAAAGATTTTAATATGACAGGAACAGTGGAAATATTCTATTCCCGATACTTTTAGTGCAGTCCTCGTATACATACAATATCCTTACTTTGGCGTCCATTTTTCCTATTACTTAGGCCGCTGAAAATAATCAAAAAGCCTATACTTCATGTGTAAAATTGCGGTTATTGAACTAGTTTGAGGGGTGCAAAGCGTCTCGATGACTCTTAAGCCGTGACGTACTATAGCTATAGCTAGAAGGGGGCTGCACACCTGCCACTAACGAGGCGAGGGGCGCGGGTATTCCGACGTGAGGTAGGTACGTAGTGTTGTGTTGCAATCGTATGCATATCACGATGTTACAAATACAAAGCGCGTTCCGACCGTTTGTTGCATCAATGCCCGTTGAATACAAATTTCATAATACCTGATAATCTTGGCGCACGAATGTATGCTTTCTACGGCTTTAAAACATAACAAATTTGTTGGAAAATAATTCTGCAAACTATATTTTTATATTTTTTAGCACTATTCTTTATTGCTGGTTATTAAATGATACCTTTAACTAAACTAAATAGATTTGCCGGTCTTGACGAAGGCTACCAAACCATAAGAATGGCAGTTACGGGTTACGCCATGAATTTACGAGCAAAGCGCGTTGAGTCGAGTGACTGAGTCTTGAGTGCAACATGAATCATGCAGGGGCGACACAACACGACAATGCTTGGCGGGCCCCCACCCTGGCTCTCGATTCTCCGCGCCCGGCCCGCGCGCCAGTCTGTCGCTGTGCGTCTCTCACTGTGCAGGTATACTTTATGTACGTAACGAAATTATCTGTGTTCGAGACGGCCTCGCGTGTGTCTTTGTTTAGTGTTCATCGCAAGTGTTTGTGATCATATTGTTCGAATATTCGTACCGAAGATGTTGTGCGTAGAACATGGCTGAATGTAGTTGACATGTCGCTGAGCGCGCCCGCCCAGGCGGTGCGCGGGACTAGGACCAATAGCCTCGATCAACTTGATTTCCAAGAGCGCAGGCAGCTGATCGCGAGCTCGTTGTCCCTCACTGATTTCTTGCATGTCGGCGCTAAAGAAGTTGCTGCAGTCGCCGGTTAGTTTTCATTCATTCTGTACACACCCATTCGCATTCCAAACAAAAGACTTGCGAAATCGTATTGCCGCTTGACATTTGGCCTCTCTACGTACAATAATAGAGACTGTTCTGCGGTACTAACAGAACAAATATTGCATGAATTAACATAGCGTATACATATAATTGCCTGTTGTCTTTTGTTGTTAATAGTTGTATTTAGGTAGGATTTTAGAATATCATTTAAGGACATTATAAATGAGAAATTAAAAGTTTTATTCTTTATTTATAATAAATTGATATCAATTTGTATCGACTGATACTCATTATAGAGTAATAAATGTAACGTATCAAGTTTTATTTATTAAAGTAATTCTATATAATCTGGAAACAGGTATAACGGTTAAATGAAGTAATTTTAATTTTAGGTTTTACATGCTATTGAACCAATACATCTGTTGATTAAAATTGACATCTCGCCATGTTTTATTGGGTTTAGTTTTCGGAAACTCTTGTAACTTAAATTAATTACAACTTGTATCGAATGATGTAGAAACAGTACCTACTCGAAACTTTTTAATACTTTATCTTTAGTGTACACAACAATAAAACAGCAAGCTGATGTCATATTTCTGTTTTTGTGCCCGTGTCTGACCATATTTATGAATACTGAAGAGGTGTTTTCATTTTAAACTTAATGAATCACCTCAGAGAGAACAAAGTTGAATATGCTTTAAACGTATCATAAGAGCTATCCGTTGATGAAGATAATGGTATATCTAGAGATATACGACTCCTGTTTATCGTCTGCAAATTTACGCAGCCGTTGGTCGTTGAACGAAATTCTTAAGAATAATGAATTTATCAACTTCAAGATCAAGTTCCGGGCTCCTACGCGTAAGAAGTTACGAACGTAATATAAGTCATTGTGCTTTATTCAATACTATACAATAGACGCACTGCTGATTGGTTGAACAGCGGTCACAGTCTTCGATAGCTACTAAAGATGCTTTTATGTTGTACCGCATTTATTGATCTCGATGAGCGCTAGAAACGACTGCCCAGCAATAAGTTGACTTCGTTACGAGATTTTGCTGTTTTGTTTCACAAAAGTCATGATTTAGATTAAATTAAATTATACTAAAACAATTACACACATGCTTAGCAATTTAAATATTTGGATTGTTATTTCCTCTCAGAGGAACATAAACATTATAGAAATTATATTAAGTACAAACTTAATGCATTTGCCCTGGTAATTTCTAATAAGCTAATATCTAAATAGACAGTAAATTGAAACAATTTTTACTAATAGTTTACGACCAATATTATGAGGTAATCTTTATACATATATAAAAATTACGTGTCACATTGTTTGTCCGCGATGAACTCCTAAACTACTGAACTGATTTCAATGAAATTTTGCACACTGTATGCAGTTTGGTCCAACTTGAGAGATAGGATAGTTTTTATCCCGATAAGTGACCCTCAATTTTTTTTTATTGCTAATTTCAGGAGTTTTTTTTTTGCAAATGAAATGTTTCAAATGGTCGTCGGAAAGGGCAGAACGACGTCTGCCTGGTCAGCTAGTATATATATATATATATATATATGTATTTATATATATATAGCGTTCAACAGATTACCTACTCTAAGTTAGACGAATAAGTTATTTTGAAACAAAATCCAGAACATTATTACAATAATGACTTGTATGTTCTAGTCTGCTTGCTTATCTTGACATCCGCCTTCTTGGTAATGCATATTAATACTACAGGCCTAATTATGATACTGATTAAAAATGATGATAATTTATCTCTATGTACTTTCAAATATTTCGCAATTTTAGTATGTAACATCACTACTACATTTATTTATATTAAGTTTGTATACATACAGATACATGGTATTTATAAGGTCTGTGAATCCTTCCAAGAATGTTCCCCGTCATCTTTTAAAACGTTGTTTGCATATCAATCACTTTGTAATTCCTGTGTCAGTAATCATGGGTCGGTAAGCTATGCCTTTCCATGTGTCCAACCAACTTGGAAGTAAAAAGGAGAAAAAAATAATTTATTAACTTGATTCGAAATTATTTTATTAGTAGTATTACCGTAAGAACGAGAAGTTTCTATATTCGTAGCGCATGTTTTTTATGTGTGTTCACCGATTTCTTGGAAATGGCTGAATCGAGGTTTCTCCCTCGGTGATTTCTATCATCTATCTATGTATATAATAAAAGAGGATGTCCCGAGTGACTGATTCATCTATCAGCGCACATCCTAAACCGCTAGACGGATGTTGGATGAAAAAGCTTTTTAAATGGCTAAGAAGGAGGTATACATTGATTACACAATTATGATAAGAAATAAATATAAATTAAATATAAAGGTAATTAAAACACAAGATGATGAAAGTTGAGGAAAGTGGAATAGAAATACAAGGAAAGATTTATAAAGAGCTTATTAAGGAAAAAAGAGATTGAGCACGGCGAATACGTAAAAGCAGGATTTCCACAAGCGTACAGCTGAAACAGACAGTTATTTATTTAAGAAGGAGAATGAATGTACCTACTGGAGTACAAAGAAAAGATTGTTACAGCGGTTTTCACCATTCTAATGCCTGTCTAACTTAAATTCTGTGATCATTATCACGTCGAAATATGAGAAAGTTTTTATATGATCGCTTGTACTCTCCATACTAAGCGATCTCAAAATAAGCGTGGGTTATCACTGTCAGGTGGTTACAACTTGGACGCCGGGTAACAGCGGAGCGAAAAGCTAGTAGGTTATATACCTTTGCTTCAGGTGTTATCTATATAAATTTAAAAAAATAATTAGATCCCTAAGGGTTGAAAAATAATAAAATGTTCCTATTTGAACAACATTCTAGTTATTATATTGCCTCTCATAAAGGTAAAAAGATTAAATTATTAATAAAAAGGTAAAACCGATTTCTTATATGTACGCGAACACTACACATTGAATGAAACTGCTTTTTACGGATGTCAATTAAACGCAATAAAATCCATAAAAACTAGAATTTCATTTAAGTAAAATCGAGATTAAAACAAAAAATATATATTTTTCATATAATAGTTTCAGAAGTCGGTGCTAAGACATGCACAGGCCCGAAAGCTATTATGTGATAAAGTTAGAAAATTTACAGCATAATATAATACGACCCGCTACTGGGCACAGCTACTTGTTCTAATCATCATCATCATCATAACAGCCCTTATAATTAATAGAATCAGGCGTTACTTTGCGGAAATCCATTATATAAAAGCTTTTACAAAAATATACTTCGCAAATATCCGCGTTATAAAATAAAATGATGTGTCTTACCTAGTATGAAGAAGCACCTCCCGCCCTCCCTCAATTGCGTGCACTATCCCCGTCACCACTAATCCCAGCACCGCTACTCCCAACACCACTACACTAGGCAAGACACACCACTGACGATAATACGACACGTGTTTCGCCTCTACACGAGGCATTCTCAGGTGATATAGACTCTACGGTGGCTAACCGCTAACTTACTCACTTAGCGGTTCATAAAACATACTCGTCAACAACTTCGAGCTTAGTGCTCCCAACAACTACCGGCATAGGTGTGACATGGACGTTAAACATGATTTTTGTTTTGTCCATGTTCATCTTAAGACGACAGGTCTTAAGATTTTTGGGAGACACTATTGAGATCATTGAGCATAGTGCTTAGGTCCTCCAGCGATTCTGCCATAAGGACTATATCTTCGGCAAATCGAAGGTGAGTGATGCTCGCCATTGATGTTAATACCGCATCCTTTCCAGTCCAGTAGCTTGAAAACGTCTTCCAATGCAGCGGTGAAGAGTTTCGGGGATATAACGTCATCCTTTCTTACACCTGTCTGCAGTTGGGTAGGTTTCGTACTCTGGTTCTGTACTCGGATAGCCATCGTAGCCCTACTGTACAAACACTTCAGGCCTTCGATATACCGACAGTCCACTTGGCACCGCTTGTTCTAATGAATGTGATTAATGTACCAAAACGGGAGTTATTGACAGAAAACCATTTGAACAAAATTAAAAATCAATTTGACGGACTTTGTCGTGTTAATTTGATTTATTTTTACTTATTTTTAATTCCAGCACGGCTAGCATGGACTGGGGACAATTATAATTATCCCCCGATTATATCCACTGACAAGAGATAAATATCTTGTCCTTATGCCAAAGCACGGCAACTGGGGGAAGTATATCCCCGTGTGACATAACGAGTAGAGATATATCCCCAGTCCGTAGTATGGAACCAAATGAAAGATGAAAAATTATACTTTTTTGACATTTGAAAGGGACAATTTAACGTAGTTCATTGGACGTGGGTTTATGTTTATATTCACACAAAATATCTATAAGTCTATCTCTCATATTATCTACTGTGGATATTATATCCACCGGTATGCCCATGCTCGAAGGGTGGATAAAACTAAGCGAGAGGAAAAACATTTTCTCCTTTCCCCGGGGATAAAATTGTCTCCTGTGCTTGCTAGCCCTGCAGACGTTTAAGCTGCTTACGACACTCATGGTAACAAGAGGACTGAGATGTTTGACATTTTAATGTTATATTGACCATGGGCACCCAAAACATGTTATTAATAAGAGCAGGGAAATATTTGTACCTCTTTTTAAGCATATTGTGCGCAAGGAAGAGCGAATGAAAGAAAAAAAAAGTTGTCATTAACAGTATGAGTTCTTCCGGGTCGATGGTACAAATGGGCGTGCCTCAAGGCTCAATTCTCGGCCCCTTTCTGTTTCTTGTATACATTAATGACTTACCTTACATAGTAGGAGATAACCATGATATAGTATTATTTGCAGATGACACTTCTTTAATTTTCAAATTAAGTCGACAATTGCTAAAATATGACGAAGTAAATAATGCTATATCTAAATTAGTAAATTGGTTCAATGTTGATAATTTGCATTTAAATGGCACTAAAACGAAATGTATGAAAGGACATTGCTCTGCGCCCATAC